TTCAAGTTGCCATACCATGGGAGCAAACAGAGATGCAATGGTCAATTTAAATGCCATAGTGGTAGAGGTAGTAGAGTTATTAGCAGTATTTAGAGAGATTAGGAGTCGAAGATATTATATAAGAAGTATAATCCAGTAAAATAAATTTGAGAAGAGAAAGATGAAGGTCATGAGGAATTTGAAAGAAGATACAAAGAATGGATGCATCTGCGCCATTACAAACGATTTTTAACCATGTCATTCAAAGTCTCTAACCATCAATTACTACTTTCTGAACCTACTGACATGGCCAAGTCTACTTGTGAGCGACTTCATGGATTTTTGCCATGTTCCGGTTCGACCGCCTCTAGCATTCTTCCAGCCTAATTCCACACCAAAAAAGCATAGCTCATGGAGACAGTCGATGCTTGAGCATACGTAATACATGAACCATCTATCTCAACTGATCAAGATTCACTACTTCACCAGACAAAAATCTGACATCAGCCCTAAACCCTGTTGACCGTTGGACTGTTACGGGTAGGAATAGGTTGGAAGAAAGTTAGGAGCGGCCAAACCAAAACATGGCACAAATCCATGAAGTCATTGACGAGTGGACTTAGCCATGTCGGTAATTGTCGACTACCTGGTTGGGGTCCGCGAGATGATAATAATCGATGGTTAGAGACCTTGAATGACATGGCTCAAAATCGTTCGCAATGGCGCCAGTGCATTTATTCTTTGTGTTCTCTCAAATCCTAATCTTCTGAGTTCTTCAACACCTCTAGCTTTTACTTTCTAAACTTATCTCATTGAATCACACTTCGTGAATAATATCTTCTAATTCTAACGTCTACGATTACTTCTAATACCTTTACTACCTCTTCTACTATTGGATTTGAATTGACAATTATATGTGTGCTGATGTGGTATGGCAACATGAACTGATGTACTTACGTACGAAGTTCTACGTTGCAACTGACTGACTGACTGACTGTTGGACTAGATATAGATGGCAATCTACTCCCGTCTACTGCAATGTACCTTACATCCAACTTCTACACAATTCATATTAGGCTGTGCTCAACAGTAAAAAAACGTCAATTAAATAAGAAACAACAACTCACCGAAGTGTATTCAATGTCTCTTCCATATTTATATCAGCAGGACTAACACAAGCAAGCATTAGCGTGGCACTATTCCCACCTAATGAATCTTGAAGTAATCGAGTCAGACGTGAATCACGATATGGAATATGTGATCGTTTCTTTGCATCACGTTCACATAAAGCACTTATGACATTACCAAGTGCAAGTAAACCTCTATTGATATCAATACCTAGTTTGAAGAAGAAGAAGAATAATAACGTTATATCAACTGAACTAAACAGGATTATCCAGTATAGATCATACTAAAATTTCATGAATCAAAGATTTAAGCCAGCTGATTGTATCATTGATAGCACTTGAAAAATTCCCTATAAGTTCAATTTTCTCACTGTAATTTTAAAAAACATAATAAAAGGATCAGAGTCGTCAGTCAGTCAGATGCAACGTAGAACTTTGTACATAAGTACATCAGTTCATGTTGCCATACAAAATCAGCACAGAGATGTAATTGTCAATTCAAATCCAATAGTAGAAGGGGTAGTAAGGGAATTAGAAGTAATCGGAGAGGTTAGGATTAGACGATATTATTCAAGAAGTATGATTAAATAAGATAAGTTTAGAGAGTCGAAACTAGAGGGGTTGAAGAATCCAGAAGATTAGGATTTGAGAGAACACAAAGAATAAATGCACCGGCGCCATTGCGAACGATTTTGAGCCATGTCATTCAAGGTCTGTAACCATCGATTATTATCATCTCGCGGACCCCAACCAGGTAGTCGACAATTACCAACATGGCTGAGTCCACAGGTCAATGACTTCATGGATTTCTGCCATGTTTTGGTTTGGCCGCCCCTAACTTTCTTCCAACCTATTCTTACACTACAAAACAAAGCTCGACGAGGCAGTCGGTGATTAGGCATATGCAACACATGTCCCAACCACCTCAACTGATTAACTTTCAGCACTTCATCTATTGATCTGCCATTCTTACCTAGCACCCGTTTCCTAATAACAGCGTTGCTTACTCAGGTGTCCCAGGATATACGAGCAATGTTTCGAAGACACCTATGATCGAAAACCAGTAACCGACGAATATCTTCCACTCTCACTGGCTGAACTGAACCAAGTATATCAGTATATCCGTAATCAAATCAAACACGAAAACCGGTAATGAACAACATTAACGGATAGCATTTATTGTCATAAATTAGAAATAAACTCCCCTACAAACATTCATATATCTTTGCAAATGAAAACACCTTGAATAGAATAGTAGTATTGTTTAACATCATCATTAAAGATAACCTCGTGAAGCTTCTCAAGCAACTGAGTTAGATATCACTAACAAATCAAGGAACATGGGGTCTTTAATTATGGGCGTAAACTTTTCTAACACCTGGAAGAGAAACCGAACCTGGTCTATCGAAAAGAACTTTAATATCGAGTACTTGTTCAGCTAGAGTAATACAAACGAGATTTATGTCAACTAGACAAGAAGAAATAACTCAATCATACAGAAACATTAAAAAAAAAATACGTAATGCACACACCTTCCTTAAGTCGATCACCTTCAGCATGTGTTTTCTTAATTCGTTCAGAACCAGCTAAGTCCACTAAATGTAATTTAGCCGTCAGTGTATCTCCTGAATTCTCGACATCTATTCCTGTTATTTTTGGTCGCAGTAAAAAACACAGAGTTAAGATAGCATGACTTCGACTAGACTTTAAATTCATCGCCGTACTTGCAACACTTCTCTTTGTTGAGCCACATTGAAGAAGATAAAGAACTTCTTCCGGAGATGTGACTACTGTCTCAGTTAGTCCTGGAATCTACATAGTATGTAATGTTTAAATTAGGAAGTGAAAAAGAGATACCTTAATAAGTTGATTTTCTTCACGTATTTGTAATGATGCAGACACATCCTCACCTAACAGATCATGTATATCCTCTTTGTATATCTAAGAAATTGTATGCTAATAAAAACATGTATATTACCTCAAGGAATGAAACTTTCACTGTATATTCATACTCATAATCAGGCGTTTGTTCAAATAGATCTTTCATAATTCGAGGAACAATGCCTACTGACTGTATCTGCTACTATTTTCAGAGATACATGTACCCATTGTATAAGTTTTCCACTCCCAGTTTGACCATAAGCAAACACAGTAGCATTATAACCTTTGAGAACATTTTCAACCATTGGAAATGCAGCTTTTCGGTAAACATACTCTTGACAATCTGTCTCTTTAAAAACATAATCAAAACCAAAAAGTTTATCATTTCCAATGATTAACTGGTTTTCTTCATTTAAATATGATAAACAAGTTGAACTTCCATCATTCACTTCACTGTTTGATAATGGTCGAACACGAACACCAACTTTTACGCTTGTATCCCCAATTTCCATTGTTTTTTTCTAAGGTAGGGAAGTGTCAAGGTGATGTACTATTGAGGAAACAATAGTATATTCTTAGCTGTAGGAATGTTTAAATAAAACTGTAAATGGAAAAAAACACAACATGATTCAATAAGTTTCCATACTGTAAATTGGAGTAGGGGGAACATGATTGAACAGATACAAACTATCGGGAAACAGTTATTCTGAGTGTACGTGAATTGAGAACGTCTAGTTATTTAAGTGCAATAGAAGTAGAAGACTTTTCGTGAAAAATAGTAATAACAGAGAATCGATTTATTACCGACATGAAAAAGGTTAACGGCTAGAAAGTCTGTAAAGCCTGGAGGAAGAAGTAAACTTAATTTATGTTTAAAATGGAATATGAATTGTGTAAATATCCAGTATTATCAAATAACAGGCTTTTAAGTCCTAAAAAAGCCAGTAATTAGCATTTCGAAATATTGACAAGGAGAGTTCGTGATTACAGGCAGTCAGCTACAACGTAGAACGTCGTACGTACCTCCGTGCAAGTAGCCATATCATATTACCAGACAGACTGAATTGCTAATTCAAATCTTATAGTGGTTGAAGTATTAGCGATAATAGGAAAATAAAATAATCAAATAATTACAGGCAGAGTAAAATTAAAAGTCTATACTAGAACACTACTAATGCAGGAAAAATTAGTATACACGTAAAACCTCTGATTATTAGTTTAGTAGGTAGGGCATCTAACCACCGGGGCACAGGTTTATGTCACTTCAGTTACTTCCTTTTAAACAATATCGCTGAATATCATAACTTCAGTAGAGTTTAAAGCCGAATGCATAAATCTGTGGTGGGACGAGAAAATCAAGCCGATGACCCAGTGAAAACATGAAAAATGCACTTACACTTTATGATAAATACAGGCAGAAATAACAGGATACAACCCAGGTATAAGATTTTGTTGATCCAACAAACACCTACGAAGGCTTAACGACCAGCCTAACAAAATAGCGCGGTTATGTATTTTAAATTTGATTCTAAGTTAGATAAACGAGATGTGTGGTAAATGGAAATTACAAGATCCAGAGACTAAAAGCCTTTCTTTTCTCGTCCATCTATGTAAAAAGAGATAAGGAGCAGTCTTCATATTACCCATTATTGACTTTATCTGCACTGGTATTCTAATATCCAATGTATTTTCACGATCCAGTATGAACCGATTGATTTATTTCCGCTCGATACTTGTCCCTTCGGTAAGAGCGCAGGTAATTGTTAGTGCTCAATGGATGGTAGTATAGCCACTTGACTGGCAGTTATTTATGATTTCGTACGTTCCGTGATTTATACTAGCACTCATCGCACTAACCGGCCGTAGGTAAGTTAGTTGCAACATGGAGGAAAATAATGAGCGAATTTGATTGCCAGTAATAAGATGAAGACTCCAGGACTATATACAGAATCACGTGTCACTCCCATTCTCTTTTTCACACGTCTACTGCTTGGACGATAGCATTTTGTACGCCCTCTTGCCTCGATATTATTTCGATATCACGAGGCCAGTATCAAATATACTTCTTCCTCTAGAATCCGCTTCCTTCTTGATTCTCTAAGTCCGTGGAGTACCATTTGTTCTCCGGCGAAGAAGTGAATCGAACGAATTGCTATAAAGTAATAAATCTGAGGAAATAAAAATAATATCAGCTAGCAAGTTTCTTCGATTCCAAAGTCAGTGCAAGTCGAAAGTGATCACAAAATTCCATTTTTCTACTGAAGTAGTCTATTTTGACACCATTTTTATCTTCCAGTTTCTTGCACATTGTAATCCCGTTATTGACATATTTATCTACCTACCTTTCTCGAATTCGCCCGAGCTGAGTCCGAAAGCACATACTCAAGTGCTCACTTTCGGCAAATCGAAGAGACTACGTTTGGCTTTACACGCAAAAACCACGTTGCCTCAATTCATCGTTATTGTGTCTCTCAGTTTCACAGCAACAGAAAATGTCGACGTGCGATGTGGGTGACGAATGACTCGTCGTATGACTGAGAACCACTACAATTGATCGCCTTCTGAGTGGTGACTAGAAACATGTGTGTAACTAGATCGATGCAGAATACAATTTGAAGGCTTTGTTTTGGGAAAATCCTTCCATATACATATTTATAATATGTTCTTACTGACTCTTTGTGTGCTACATTTTGGTACTCTGTTTAATCTCATTTTTTGATGTTAATATTTGTATTTTGTTATAGTTTCTATTTCCTGTAACTTTATTGCAGTTTCTATGTTTTCTACTAAACTGTATTATGCTGTTTAAATTGATACGTAATTGTGGCTTTAGCCATATCGGATTTAACATCCTGAGCAGTGAACCTTGAATCTGGACTGGAAGGGTACAATTTTGGACTCAAACGGAAACATTTTACCAGAATTAGAAACACATTGTGTTGTATTCGTTAAACAGCAGTGTAATATTGTTTAGAAACGTTTATTACCCAAATAAATTGCTTTCTTCTTCGAATAGCTGGGAAAGGCACGTATCTAAACTTCCTCAACTGTTCTTCCGAATTCAGAATCCACTGAAAAACCCCATTAACCGATGAAATTCGACCAACAGTAGGAAAGATTTTGCAGTTATGTCGTTCATGCTTTTGTGCGACTGCTTGTGAAGGAACGTTTGTCAGTGTTCACAGCGAAGTGGTCAGCACCAAATCAAACTACTGCCGCACAGGGCAGACACCATTTCCTTTCGATACTCTACCATTAAAAAAATGACTGAGGTGAACAATACATCACGATCTCGTCGCTAACAAAAAAGGAGTAGAGACTGAGGAGAATAGATTAAGAAAACAGAGTTTCCATTCGAGGCACGATGACACGAGTGCTGCCTGTTTCAGTGAAATGGGCTGCTTTTCACTATGGAATTTAGGGTTTACTTTGAAATCCTACACAAATTGTTGTCCTCTGTCATCCCTTGATGCTTCCCGATCAGATACTCGTGAAATATGAGTTCTCAGATATCCGTTCGTTTCAGTGCTGCAAAGCAAGAAGAAATTTTGTTTGAACTAAGTTTTACTCGGAAAGCGTAACTAATCAATAACAACGTTCACTGAGTTTCTTCAATACTCGCCAAAATTCACGTTTCTTTCTGAAACGATGGAGAAGAAAAGCAAATTACTCAATCGGTTACGTGACAACGACAGTAACGTGTATAAATATGGGGGAGCTGCACACTTCTCTGTGTGTTGTCGCGTCTCAACAATATATTTCACTTAGTCGGTCTCTTGTATTCATGCTGACTTTCGAATGTCACCTACAAAACAGTCAGCCAGTCAGTTAAACGCACAGATGGACAAGTAACACACTGATCTTGGTGAATACATATACAGTGGATATTTCATTTGATACTTGTAACAATTGTAGCACGTCCAAAATATTCTCGGTTAGCTGCCATACATTTGTGTTTGCAGTACTGATTAATGTACGCTCATAGGACGATCTGATCTAGTCAGGAGCACTAGAAGCGATCTAGAGACTTGACACAGTTACGATGTTGAGAGGAACTAGTAAGTCATGCAGTGTGTGTGCAGTATGGGCAACAAGTTGAAGAGATGTGAAGTTCCAAATTGTATCCATGTTTTGCAAGTGCAAATGTACGAAACTGATATTTACGGTATTATTCGTGCACATAATCTACGGTTCACATGGTAATTCGAACGTGCTTCTGTGCACTGAAATATCGAAGAGTAAAGTAGGCGAGTAATCCTCCACCGTTGATGATGGGCGTTTGCCGAAACACGTATCTGGTACATAGTGCGGAGCAAACGGTTCAATACTGCATAGTTTGCGTCGTCCGCTGAAAATGAAGCATAAACTGACCATATGACTTACGGGCCAACAAAAAGGACAGATTCCGTGACCACTTCGTTGTCCAACAAAATCGTCACTGAGCTGTTGAGGGACGCAAAGAAAATTGATCAAAGTGTATACTGTTGTACAGTGTAAAATTTCCGACACACCACCAAACTGTAACAATTACGCCATATCAATCGATAGCTATCCACCGTTTGAATACCACTACGTTTAAACATCACTATAAATTGCTCATCACCAATCGCAAGCCTCATGTGTTTCAGTTGTAACTGGTTGGAAACACCTAAGTCACATTTCAAAGTCAACATACTCATAACTACTGTGATGGCCTTGCTATGAGAGTGAGTGTAGTCGTGGTCACGAAGTACAATCAGTCCAGTTATGCCATTCCGAAAAATATTCTGTAGTGTATGAACTCATCACGAGAAGTGCCCAGAACCGAATAATCAGGTTGACCGACATTCAGTCAGTTTGTTCATGAGCTTCTCAAATAGAGTGATTGGCGATTTATAAAAAGTGTTTCACAGTACACACACAAAAGTCATAACATTGAATGTGGCTATCTTACGTAGGAAACTAAACCGGCAATCTAAAAGATGCAAAAACACAGTCATTCGTTAGTCCATTGAATATCTACGTGAACAGTAAATTGAGGCAGAGTTCACGAGAAATGTGCTTATTAGAGTGAAAAGCTTCATTTGTACTAATAGTCAAATCGAATGGTGAATCTCTGTCATTGCACATGACCAACCTGTTTCGATTCACTCGTCTCTCATGCTAGGTAATGAATAAATACATTCGATTCCCCTTCTGTACAGAAATATGCGTGTTTTAAAACAGGAGACATCCAATCTTTCAATCGAATCCATTCAAACTGATTGCTGACTTAGTGAGTGTTACCGAATTCATTCGAAAGAGGTTCTGTTCACCGTTCGTGATTTTCACTAGTGTCATTCACTTAAGATCAGATGGATGACGAACGCCAATCACTAGAACCTTGAAATGCTTCACGATATATAACAATATTATCACCATCAACCACATCTGCATTCTAATCACTGAACAAGCAAAATCATCACCTGAAATGTACCAAGAGCAAATCGGTGTGTAAACTTCCACAAGAGCGAACCTACAAAAAGACATTCTG